CTTAAAAGGTAACTAACATCCATTTGCACTGCCAATGCTCTGGATAGTACGTGCAGAGCTTGTGTTAGCTGTTGCGATGTTTTTTTAACATGATTTTTTTTTATTTTCCATTTTAAAAAATAAACAGTTTCGTCGGAGTATTCCAAACGTATCTACCAGGGAGTTCGTGTCAAACACACTGTCAAAGACCTGTTGGCGGAGAAGAGATCCAGGCAGACGAATGTGTCTTACAAATACAGCGTGAGTAGAACACAACATTGCAGGGAAAACAGACACTAGGACCAGCGTTTTGTGTGTTGTTAACAGTGGGAACTGGACTGAAACAGTAATGTATTGTTTTTTTGTTGAATGCAGCAGCCAATTTGCGCGCAGCAACGTCCCACAAACAAACAGCTTGTGAAGCGAGCGATCAATTTTACTTGGAAGGATTGTCGACCATGGGATCTTTAATATCTGCCTGAACAGACATAGCATTAATAATACTAATAATTCTTGCATTTGATACAGCGCCTTTCCACATCATCAAGACGTCTCAAAGCGCTTCATAAAATATACTGTAAAGTGAATTGACGGTGTATTTATGGGCGAAACCTGGCAACCAATTGCGCACAGCAGCATCCCACAAGCAACCGTGGATTGATTGACCCAATTATTATTATTATTTTCTTTTTTGGAGGGATTATTACCCACGGAAAGCGATTCGCCAATCGACTAACAACCGGGTTGCTATTTACTGCTCGGTAAACAGAGGCGTGTGTGTGGAGTAAAGAAACTTGCTTAAGGTTTTGCCCCGCCCAGGAATCGAACCCGAGGCCTCTCGCTTGCGAGGCGAGTGCTCTAACCACTGAGCTACAGAATTCCGATAGATTGAAGGCAGCCACTATGCCCTATAATGTGTTCTGAACATTCAGAAGAAAACTGCAGTGTTTGTGCAGTTGGGGCCCTTATCTGTTTCATCGACTTCCAATGTCAACACAACCTTGCCAGTTCTTAACGAATTAATTTTCATACAAGCTACGGGCAGAACCCACGAAGCACGGAGACACAGCACCGGGAAATCTAATCTCTCACATTTTACATTCAAATATCTGCTGTGAAATTTGGTTACCCTCCAGGCGTCCAGTTCACCAGATCCTGGTTCAGATCTGGTATGCAAACATTCAGGTTGGGTTTAGACAGAATAGGTGGTCGGAATGCCTCCTTCCCTCGGAAAGTGATAATAATAATAATAATAATCATAATCCTTACATTTGACATAGGGCCCTTTGTGGCTGCCAATTGCATACAGCAGCGTCCCACAAACAATCGTGGATTGAGTGAGTTCACAGTGCTCTGGGGCTCGACCTTGCGTGAAGGGGATGATACAAAATACACGTTGTTGTTGTTGTTGTTTAAGTGTTCCCCCCCCCTCCAAGGTATCTTTGGAAAGAATTTTAGTCCCACTTGGATTAATGTTGACGAGATTTCAGTTCTCTGTTCATTGCTCTCTCATCCCACCCGTCCCCCAGTCACACACCTGTGTCAGCCTGACGTGTTTGGTAGTTGAGGTCAGAAGGTTGTGGGTTCATATTTAGCACTTTGAGATAACGCATAGACCATGGGCTGAGGCTCCAGCAGTGTTCGGGGCGATGGGGGGTGTTAGAGATGCAATGTCAGAGGCGCAGGCGTTCAGGTCAGATATTAAACCGTGAAGTCCCATAGAGTAGTGGTTACTGCGCTCGCCTTGCAAGTGAGAGGACCCGGGTTCGATTCCCGGGCGGGACGAAACATTAGGCAGGTTTCCTTATTCCACAAGTCTCTGTTTACCTAGCAGAAAGTAAGAAGCTGGTTGCTAATCGATTGGCAGATTACTTTCCGGAGATTATAACCCCTTTTTAAAAAAGTGCTTCACAGAGTATATTGTAAAGTGGAGTGACTGTGTATTGGTGGGCGAAACTCAGCAGCCAGTTGCGCACAGCAATGTCCCACAAACAGTCGTAGATTGAGTGACCAAGTTATTTATTTTTTTGAACATTAAGTAGAATTGTGGAGTATTTAAATTCCCTTAAAGTACCTTGGCTAGAGGGATGTTGGGTGAAAAAGTACAACATAACATAACATGTAGGAGCAGGAGTAGGCCATTCGGCCCTTCGAGCCTCTGCCCCGCCATTCAATCATGGCTGATCTTTTAATCTAACTCCAGCTAATAACCTGACTCTGCCTTATCCCCATATCCCTTAATCCCTTTTGCAATAAGAAATCTATCTATCTCAGTCTTGAATAGGTTCAAGGACTGAGCGTCAACAGCCCTTTGGGGTAGTGAGTTCCATACATTCACTGCCCTTTGAGTGAAGAAGTTCTTCCTCAACTCAGTGCGAAAGGGTTGCCTCTGATTTTAAGGTTGTGACCCCTGGTTTTAGTTTCTCCAACCGGGGGAAACAATCTCCCACTATCTACTCTATCATGCCCTTTGATGATCTTATAGGTTTCTATAAGATCCCCTCCAATTCTTCTATATTCCAGAGAATATAGGCCCAAATTGGTCATCCTATCCTCGTAACTCAACCCCTTCATCCCTGGTACTAACCGAATAAATCTACGCTGCACCCCCTCCAAGTCAAGTACATCCTTCCTAAATAGGGAGACCAAAACTGGACATAGTATTCCAGGTGTGGTCTCACCAAGGCTCTATACAGTTGCAGCAAGACTTCCCTACTCTTATACTCTAATCCTTTCGTAGTGAACGTGCCGTTCGCCTTCCTAATTGCTGCTGCACCTGCAGACTAACTTTCTGTGATTGGTGTATAAGGACACCCAAGTCCCTCTGGACGCTAACACATTCCAATCTCTCCCCTTCTAAAAAATAACCCACTCTACTGTTTTTGCTACCGAGGTGGATGACTTCGCACTTCCCTACATTATACTTCATCTGCTACTTACCTGCCCAACCACCTAACCTATCTATATGTCACTGCATTTTTTTAATGTCATCCTCTGTGTTGACACTTCCTCCTAGTTTTGTGTCATCCGCGAATTTAGATATATTAACTTCAATGTCCTCATTTGATCGTTGATGCAGATGGTAAATAGCTGAGGCCCAAGGACTGATCCTTGTGGCACTCCACTAGTCACATCCCGCCAATCTGAAAAGGACCCGTTTATCCCTACTCTTTGTTTCCTACCCGTTAACCATTCCCCAATCCACGTTAATATGCTCCCCCCAATTCCATGGGCCCTTATCTTTTGGACTAACCTTTTATGCGGCACCTTATCGAATGCCTTCTGGAAGTCCAAATAGACCACATCCACTGATTCACCCTTATCTAGTTTACTCGAAATATCCTCAAAAAACTCTATGAGATTTGTCAAACATGACTTCCCTTTTGTAAAGCCATGTTGACTTGGCCTAATTATATTGTGCCTTAAATACCGCACTACCACATCCTTAATCAGTGATTCTAAAATTGTTCTATAACTGATGTGAAACTAACTGCCTATAGTTCCCCATCTTTTCCTTTCCACCTTTTTTAAATAGTGGTGTGACATTTGCGATCTTCCAATCCATGGGGACTGTTCCAGAATCCAAGGAATTTTGGAAGATCAGACACAAGGCCTCCACTATCTCATAAGCTCCCTCTTTTAAAACCCTGGGATGCAAGCCATCCGGACCAGGGGATTTGTCACTTTTTAGTGCTAACAGTTTCCCGAGCACCAATTCTCTACTAATGAAAATTTCCCTAAGTTGCTCCCTGTCCTTATCCCTTTGGTGCATCTCTATTGTTGGCAGACTTGTTGTGTCTTCTCGGGTGAAGACAGATGCAAAGTACCCATTTAGGGACTCTGCCATGTCCTTGTCCCCCATTACAACTTCTCCCGTCTCTGACTGAAGTGGACCTACATTTACCCTCACTACCCTATTCCTCTTAGTATATTTGGAAAAACTTTTACAATCAGACTTAATGTTCCTCGCTCGCTTACCCTCATACTCCTTTTTCTCACTCTTAATTAGTTTTTTTTTAAAAAATCACCCAATCTTCAGATTTGCTGCTTTTCTTGGCAGTTTTATAAGCCTTTTCTTTTAATTTGTTGCTTTCCCTTAACTGCTCTAGTTAGCCACGGATCAATTGCTTTCCCTGTGGTACTCTTATTACGTAAGGGAATATGCGACCACTGAGAATTTTGCACTACATCCTTAAAAATTTGCCACTGTTGGTCTACATTTTTACCTCTTAATCTTATTCTCCAGTCTATTTTACCTAAATCTGTCCTCATACCTACAAAATTAGCCCTATTGAAATTCAGAATACTTGCCTCGGATTTAACTATATCCCTCTCTAACTTAATGCAGAATTTAATCATATTGTGATCACTCTGCCCCAGAGGAGTCTGAATACCTACACTGCCAACTGTTACACAAAACAAGGTCTAGGATGGCCTTTCCCCAGTTGGTTCCTCGGCTGCTCTAGAAAGTTATCTCTTATATACTCAATGAACTCTTCTTCTAACCTAGTTTTGCCGATTTGGTTTTCTCAATCTATGTGGAGATTGAAATCACCCACTATTATCGCTTTACCTTTCCAAGATGCTCCACTGATTTCCTGATTAATACCTTGTGCTATATTGTGATCGCTGCTTGGGGGTCTATAAACTACTCCCATTAATATTTTCTGCCCTTTACTATTTTTTTATTTCCACCCATATTGTCTCGACCTCAGATTTCAGATTCTTCCTCTCCACTGCTTTTATTTCATCCCTAATTAACAGGGCTCTAACTTGTTTCCCGCAGTGCCTATCTTTCCTGTAAACTGAGAACCCTGGAATATTTTAACTCCCACTCTAGGTCTCCTTGAAACCATGTTTCAGTTTCCTACCATTTCCTCTACTTTCTGATTCCTTATCAGTTGGCAATCTTCTTGCCCCTAGTTAACATGTTCCTATTATCTGGCATGTTATTCTGCACTGTCACCTTTACTTTTTCTAATGCTAACTTATGGTTTCTCTTACCTATCTAATTCCCCCCATTTAGCTCGGACATTTGTCCCAGCCCGATTTAAATGCAGCACATTTCTCTGAAAGAGCTCTCTTTTCCTCCAATACTCGTGCCAATGGCCCATAAAAAGAAACCCGAGTTCCGCACCACTCTTTTAGCCGTGCGTTCAAGTCCTTAATTTGTTTGTTCCTGTACCAATTGTCGTATGGTACAGGCAGTAGTCCTGATATTACCACCTTCGATGATCTTGACTTCAATTTGGACCCCACCTCTTCGAATTCCCTTCTCAAGTCATCTTGGGCAACTCTACTGATGTCATTGGTACCGATGTGAAGTACCACCAACAGATCCTTGCCCTCGTATTTTAAATTACCCTCTTGCCCTGCCGAGACATCGTTCACCCTGGCCCCAGGGAGGCAACAAAGCCTTTAGGTCTTCTGGTTGGTGTTGCAGATGATTGTGTCTGTCTGTCTAATAGCTTCATCCCCAATGACGACAACCATCCGCTCGTTTGCCCGAGAGTTAGAGGTAGTTTTGGGGCACTGGAGTGCTTATAACATTGCTAGCACCGCCCTGACTGATAACAGTCAACACAACACAGACCTGGGATTTAATGTTTCCTGTCCTGTATGGTGTTACTGTTCCCTTGATAACCTGGCTGAGCACTGAGGGAACTTATACATGTATTTGCCAGTAAGAGGCATTTGTGGAGTCTCGTTGCGTACTGGTTAGAGCGCTCACCTCACTAGCGAGAGGACCCGGGTTTAATTCCCGGGTAGGCTGAAACCTGGTTGTTAGTCGATTGGTGGATCAATTATTATTTTTTTCAAAACGGATTACCACCCCCAGAAAAGTGATCACAAATCGACTAACAACCGGTTTCCTACTCACTGCTGATAAACAGAGGTGTGTGGAGTAAGGAAACTTGCCTAAGGTTTCGCCCCGCCCGGGAATCAAACCCAGGTCTCTCGCTTGTGAGGTGAGTGCTCTAACCACTGAGCTACCAGACACTTATTCATCTGTCGGGGACTGTTGGCCAGGACACTAGGAAGTATCTTTTTCAGAGAGTACCAATGGGATCTTTAATGAGTGGAGTAAGCATAGAGGAAAGGTAAAGCGATAATAGTGATAATTTCCCACATAGATTGGGAAAACCAAATCGGATTCTCTTACTTCTGAGGCTGGCACCATAACCACTACGTTACGAGACTAAGAGGTTAAACAGGACGAATGTTGCATTTACTGCAAGGCACAATAGCTTGCTGTGCTTATCAGTGCTTTCTTTTGAACTGCCATGTCAGGTGGAACACACATAGCAGCATGCAAAGTCGACCACGTAGAGATTTGCATAAAAATGATTCACATTGGAAAATAGATGCGGAGGGAGCAATGGGTAGCAGGAAGTCATGGACTGCAGTGGAATTTCCGTCTGGTTCTAGATTTCACACTAACTATGTAATATTTGTCTGCAACTAATAAAAATAATAATAATAATAATCATTGCATTTCATATAGGACCCTATCACATTGTCGAGACCTCTCAAAGTGCATCACAGAATATAGACTATAAAGTGGATTGACTGTGTATTTTGTGGGCAAATACACAGTCACTCCACTTCATGCTAAATGCTGTGAAGCGCTTTGGGGTGTCCTCCCCACGTGAAAGGTACTGTACCAAATGCCAGGATTAATATCAGAATCATAGAATTATACTGCACAGAAGGAGGCCATTCGGCCTATCGTGTCTGTGCCGGCTTTTTGAAAGAGCTACCAACTAGTCCCACTCCCCCGCTCTCTCCCCAGCTCTCTCCCCATAGCCCTGCAAATTTGTCCTCCCCAAATAATTATTTACTTGTCTCTTGAAAGTTGTCATCGAATTGGCTTCCACCACCCTTTCAAGCAGTGCATTCCAAATTTCTCCTCACCTCCCCTTCTTTTGTTGTTTTAAATCGGAGTCCTCGGGTTACCGACCCTCCCGCCAGTGGGAATATTTCTCCTCGTTCACTCTATCAAATCCCCTCATAATTTTGAAAACTTCTATTAAGTGTCCTCTTAACCTTCTCTCCTCCAAGGAGAATAACCATAGCTTCTCTCCTGATAACTGAAGCCCCTCATTCCTGGTACCACCCTGGTAATATATATTTTATTATTATTGTTTTACGGAGTCCGAAATTTGTCAAAGAAGGTTTACTGTCGGTTCCTTTCAAGATCCACAAAAAAAAATTCCATGACCCATAACACTCAGTAAACAAGGAAGATTGCAATAGAGGGAGAGAAAGAGAAGGAGGGAGGCAGAGAGCGAGAGAGATTTTATAGTGTGCAGAGCACTTACGCCCTCACCCAACCTCCCTTCAATTTCTTAATCCTAGATTCACCTTGATTGAGACATTGTATTGGAGTCCTGTAGCTCAGTGGTTAGAGCACTCGCCTCGCAAGTGAGAGACCTGGGTTCGATTCCCGGGCAGGGCGAAATGTTGGGTAAGTTTGCTTACTCTACACGCCTCTGTTTACCTAGTCGTAAATAGGAACCCGGTTGTTAGTTAATTGGCAGATAATAATTAATAATAATCCTTGCATTTGATATAGCGCTTTTCACGTCAGGAGGACGTCCCAAAGCGCTTCACAGAACACACTGTAAAGTGAATTGACTGTATATTTGTGGGCGAACGCGGCAGCCAATTGCGCACAGCAATGTCCCACAAACAGTCGTAGATTGAATATGACCAATTTATTATTGTTGTTGGTTTTGGAGGGATTATTATTAGGCTCTGTGTGGAGTAAGGAAACTTGCCCAAGGTTTCGCCCTCTGCCTGGAATTGAACTCAGGTCTCTCACTTGCAAAGCGAGTGCTCTAACCACTGAGCTACAGGACTCCACCTTTCACATTTCCAGGGGTAATAATTCCCTTCAAAAAAGTAAAAGACAATAATAATAATAATTTTGTCACTCAATCCACAAGTGTGTGGGACACTGCTGTGTGCAATTGGCTGCCATGTTTGGCCCTCGAAATATACAATCAATTCACTTTACAGTAGATTTATCTGTGAAGCACTTGAGATGTCTCGATGACATGATACAACAACAACTTGCGCTCGGGGAGAGGTGGGGAGATTGCTGTAAGCACGGCTGAAGGGGAAGGTTTTCAGGCAGGACTTGAAAAAGGGGAGAGAGGGGGTAAGGCGGAGGGATTGAGGTAGAGTGTTCCAGAGATAAGGCGCTATATCAAATACAAGGAATATTATTATTGTTGTTGTATTGGAGAGAATTACAGGAAGCTTGTTAAAGCTAAACTTTTTGTTTCTTCTTCTTTTCAGCCCGCAAGCAGTTCAGCTCCACCACCAGCCTTTGTGCAGATGGCTGGTTAGTGCAAGTCTCTTCAAAACACTTTCAAGACTTAAATATTTCAAGCATTTAGTCATAAACAAGGGGGAAGGGGCAGGTTCTTTGAACGTTCCTGCCAGCCCTTTCCTGTGCTCCTCTCCCCTGTGATCCCTCCATTTCCAATTGTCCCTCTCTCGTACCCTTTACACAATTGCAGCCAATGGTGCACCTTGTACAGTGTATCCTGTGAAGCGCTTTGAGACATCTCGAAGACGTGATAAGGCACTGTATCAAATGCGAGGATTATTATTATTATTAAATGGGGGATTTTGTAGAGCGATTTTGTAGAGTTGAGTCGGTCTCACCCTATCTCCTTCTCAACAGGCTCGCACGTGATACCCAGTTACTACGGAGTAAGGAGGCCGTATCTGTCGGAGTCAGAGCTGACTCACTGTTATCCATCTAAACAATACACAGCGGACGTGTACTCCTCATCTCTGGGTGGGAAATCCTTCCCGTGCGATGGCTCGGTCACCGGGTACCCACCATTGTTTGACCCGTATCTCACGGAATCTTTCGGAGACTACAGGACATCAGCGTTCCCACCCGGCACCAGCTCCATCTTCACATCGCAGGGGCTCCCACCTCTCCTTCCTCCCTTCTCCAACGAATCCTCACATTACCTGCTGGTACGTACCGTTTAACATCAACAACAACTTCCACTTACACAGCGCCCTTGAGTCGGGGCAGTGTTGTGGAACGCTTAATAGTGGCTGAGGCTGAGCTGAAGTGGAAGGGAGGAGGTGACTGTAAGCGCGGTCCAAGAGGAAAGTCTTCAGTTGCGATCTAAAAGAGCGGAAGGAGAGAGGGGGAAAGGTGAAGGGATTGGGGGAGAGAGTTCTAAAGCTTCAGGGCGTAGTGGTTGAAAGTGCGGCCACCAATGTTGGAACGGAGGGTACAACGGACAAACAGGAGCCAGCTGAGCGGAAGTGGAGTGCTGAGAAAGTAGGTCAGAAAGGTAGGGAGATGTCAGGGTGTGAAGGGATCTGTAGATGGGAGATTTAAGATCCTACCGCATGGTCGCAAGATCCACAAAAGAGATTCTGAACGTCTTTGGACCATTTGATTTCAGCTTTGCAGAAAACCATCAGAATATCCTCCCATTACAGTTGCATTAAGCAGTTCTACAGTATTCCAGAATGAAGCTGATAACAGCACAATTGAGTCTGGCTCATCAGCAGGACTTAGAAATGCAGACCAGTCACTGGGGGCAAGGAATCCTCCCACTGAGCTACTGTTAACCCCGCAGCCAAAGCCCTCATGGGTAGGGTGGTCCGAGCTGGACAAGCAGCGGGAAAGCTTGCCAGACAGTGATATTCTGTAGCCTGTATCCTGTATCCTGTGGAGTCCTGTAGCTCAGTGATTAGAGCACTCGCTTTGCAAGTGAGAGACCTGAGTTCAATTCCAGGCAGAGGGCGAAACCTTGGGCAAGTTTCCTTACTCCACACAGAGCCTAATAATAATCCCTCCAAAACCAAAAACAATAATAAATTGGTCATTTTCAATCTACGACTGGTTGTGGGACATTGCTGTGCACAATTGGCTGCCGCGTTCGCCCACAAATATACAGTCAATTCACTTTACAGTGTGTTCTGTGAAGCGCTTTGGGACGTCCTCCCGACGTGAAAAGCGCTATATCGAATGCAAGGATTATTATTATTATTATTATCAATAGCAAGCTATGTGGTTTTAGTTGGTTAGACTCCAGCAGTTGCCCCCAACACACTCTCTGGGCTCCCCCCAAGCCTTGGCTCTCGTTAACCTGTGCCTAATACTTTCAGGAATTAGGATTCCTCTCTCCGAGAGATGCGTCTCTCCAGGGAGAGGGATTTAATAAGTCCACTTAAGCACGGTGCTGGGTTTCCGCATGTGTCAGACTAAAAAAAAAGTGTACAAAGAGTGATGGAATTGTAGTTTATTGTAACAAATTAATTTAGGAATTTGTTGCTGTGTTGAAGATTTCATCCCTAATCAACGATCTCATTTTTGCATTTCGTTGACTCCGTTTCAGAAGTAAATCAAGTCAAATATTTCGAACCCCAACTCGAGCTTGAAGGGTAAATTTGGATAAATCTAAATTTCTGTAATTGAGAATCTTAATCTGGTGGTTTTAGTAATAAGCGCTTCACAGGATATACTGTAAAGTATAGTGACTGTGTACTTAGGCAAAACGCGGCGGCCAGTTTGTGCACAGCGGTGTCGTGGAATCAGCTGTGGAGTGTGCGACCAATTTTAATTGGGAGATTGTTGGCCACAATAATAATCCTTGCCTTTGATATAGCGCCTTATTACGTCATTGAGACGTCTCAAAACACTTGAGAGAGAAACTCCCTCCTATTTTTGAATAGCACCACGGGGTCTTTAACGTCCATCTGAATAGGTATACGGGACCTCGGTTTAACGTCTCATCCAAAGAACGGCATCTCCAATGCAACACCCCCCCCCCCCCCCCCCCCCCAGCCCTGCATTGGCTGCGGCAGCTTAGATTATGTGAGTCTAAGTCCCGACATGGTCTTGAACCCACAACCTCTGACTCAGAGATGAGAGCGTGCCACTGACACACAAGCCCAGGCTGACTCACGCACCTCGTATTTAGACATGGGTTAACAGTTTGTAACTTTGTGCATTACTATAGAGACACCTGCTCTGGTGGCTAAACTATGCAAATATTTCCCTTAGGAAAATACAATTTGTGGTAGGAGACAGATATATCTCTCTCTCTCTCTCTTTCTCTCAGGAGTTTTCAGGTGGTTTATAGCTTTGTTTCGTGTGTGATCACTGTTTGAGCCCAAAGTGGCAGTGTGCCAATGATTTGCTAGTTTGACAAAAGTTGAGGGAAGAGAGCTGAGATATCCCACTAAATCGAGGGTCAAATCCTGTGAAGTGCTTTCAGATAGCTTGACGATGTGACCATAATAATAATATTAATCCTTGTATTTGATGTAGCGCCTTATCACGTCATTGAGACGTCTCAAAGTGCTTTACGGAATGTACCGTAAAGTGTAGTGACTGTATATTTGTGAGCAAAACTCAGCAGCCAATTGCGCACAGTAGTGTCCCACACACAGTCATGGATTGAGTTACCAAATAATTGTTTTCCCTCCACATGCGATAAGGAGCTATATCAAGACATTGATTTTTTAACCTGTCGATCTTGGGTTGGAATCGATTAAATGGAGATCTCCTTCAGAAGATCAACTCCCTGTGAAGTCCTGTAGCTCAGTGGTTAGAGCGCTCGTCTCGCAAGCGAGAGCACCCGAGTTCAATTCCCGGGCAGGGCGACACCTTAGGCGAGTTTCCTTACTCCACATACACGCCTCTGCTACCTCGCAGTGAGTAGGAGCCCTGTTGTTAGTTGATTGGCAGATCACTTTCCGGGGATAATAATACCTCCAAAAACAATTATAAAAGTTATAAATTGGTCACTCAATCCATAACTGGTTGTGGGCCAGTGCGGTTCGCAATTGGCTGCCATGTTTCACCCACAAAATACACAGTCACTCCACGTTGCAATATATCCTGTGAACCTGCCTGATGAGGCGCTATATCAAATGCGAGGATTATTATTATCAGCGTTCAGAGTGTTTATTGCCCTCTGACTGCTGATAATATAAATTATTATTATTTGTAGTTTTTTAAAACTGTTTTTAAGCAAACCTGCGTGCGGTTCTAGGGCAGCCATTATAAAAATACTCTTTCTTGTTCTCCACAGCAGAGGGATTCGTGGGAGAGCATTCCTGATAGCTCCAGCCAGGGTGAGGGAGTCTGCCCCGATGTGATTCACCAGATGCAAGTTGCTTCATCCAGCTGTCAGCCCCCAACCCACGGCAGCCCATCCCTGCCCAGCCCTGAGATCTCCTCTCTATCTCAGTACAGGAACGGGAACCGCAACAACCTCCCATCGAACCAAGGGTCGACCCAGCCCTACCCTATGCCCTCCCTGGAAGACATGCACTTTGCTTCCAGCTACCAAGGCTCTGCGTACACCTGCCCACCCTTCATGACTGTGCCATCAGAGCTGGCTGTCAAGATGGCCCATCTCTCCTCTGATGAGCCCAACGAAACATCCATGCCCCTGCACGATGCATCCCCCTGGGCAAAGGAAGACCCCAACACCTGGTCTTCATATGAGGTCAGGCGGACTTACTGACACTGACGTTAAAGGGTTTTTAATCGCCTGGCTTTCAGTTCTCTGCCCCCACCCTTTTGGAATTCCATCCAACAATCCTTTCGCCTTGCTCCCTCCCTTGCCTCCTTCAAGGCACGACTCAAGATGTGTCCTTTTCGACTGCGCCTTCAGCCGCCCTCCTACCATTCTGTTCTCTCTCATCCCAACCCTGTCCCTCGCCACCCCTACGTTCGGGTCCTGATCCCTGATCTTGGGACATCCTCCTGACTTGAAACGCGCTTTAAGATAGTAAATTTCTTGATGAGGTTGTTGTTGTTTAAGGCCAATAGATTCGAAGGCTATAGTTAGTTCGTAGTGTGTATTTTTACCCCAATGTTTTTTTCCTGCTCCCACTACCACCCTCCAAACCCCCAATCCTGAAGAAACAGAATCCAATCTCAACTTTCAATGGCATCGCTGTATAATTGCATTGGGACTTCTATGTGTGCATGGAGCAAGAGCAATGAAGCAAAACAGAACTGAGAATGCCAGCGTTTAGCATATACATTAGTGTTGAGGCTAGTTTAAAGCCTCAGTTGCATGGATACTAGGCAAGTCAGGAGGGCTTAATGCCAAATCAACTCAGTAACTCAACTGTGTATTTAACACGAAGGAGTAGTTGAGGGGAATAGGATGGTTGGGGAACTCCTTTGGAGTATAAACACCGGCATGGACTAATTGGGCTGAATGACCTGTTTCGTGCTGTATCACTCCATTGGGCAGGGCGAAACATTGGGCAAGTTTCTTTACTCCACACGCCTCTGTTTACCTAACAGTAAGCAGGAACCCGGTTGTTGGTTGATCGCTTTCCAGGGGTAATAATCCCTCCCCCCCCAAAATGTAGTCACTCAATCCACGACTGTTTGTGGGACGCTGCTGTGCGCAATTGGCTACCGCTTTTCACCCACAAAATATACAGTCAATTCACTTTACACTATATTGTGTGAAGTGCTTGAGACATCTCAATGACGTGATGAGGCACTATATCAAATGAAAGGATTATTAATATTATTGCGGCTTCATATCTCACCAGCCCAGAGAGAGATTTTCCATATATTCCCTCATGAGAACTTAGCGATGAACTTCATTCTTCTGTCCAACACTTTCATTCACATGTCACCAGTCACACTTGATTGGAGAAAAATGAGACCAGTTCTTTGATTCTGAATTGAAGATTTTCCCACAAATTCTACACAATATTACATTTTAAGAGAACAGACCAGTCACTGGGGGCAGGGAATCCTCCCACTCAGCTCCTGTTAACCCTGCAAGCCAAAACCCGAATGGGTCCTAGCTGGACAAGCAGCGGGAAAGCTGGCCAGACAGCAATATCAATGGCAACTATGTTAGACTCCAGCAGTTACCCCAGCACACACTCTGGGGTTCCGAAGCCTTGGCTCTTGCCAACCTATGCCTAATACTTTCCGGAATTAGGTAAGCAGGATTTTTCCCTCCAGAGAGAGAGAGAGAGAGAGAGCGCATTCCATTCCAACAATCTATCTGTGGGATTTCCATGTGTAGGTGGGAGGCGGGGAATTCTCAGCTTGGTTTGGAGACTCTTAAGCAACGGTGAGGGGTTTCCGCGTGTGTCAGACACACAACTGACCCTCCCAAAATAGCCTAACTTCAGAGGATATTTTGACAGCTTATGTGCCATCATTAGACATGTAGGTAAAGTTCAGAAACGATATCATAGCCTCAAGATGGGTCTGTTGCACAGGGACCATTTGCACTAATTTATTTCACGGAGAATTGGGCTGCAATTTCATTCACTTTTCTATAGGTTTACGTGAATGTTAATCGTTAGATCCTACAGACTATCCATCCTTTGGATGAGACGTTAAACCGAGGTCCCGTCTGCCTGTTCAGGTGAATATTAAAAGATCCCATGGCATTTTCAAAAAGGGAAGGGAATTTCTCCCAGAATCCTGGCCAACTATCTCCTGGATAAAATCTGGTCCCTCACACCACCACTGTTTGTGGGACACTGCTGTAATAATAATAATAATCCTTGCATTTGATATAGGGCTTTTCACGTCGGGAGGACGTCCCAAAGCACTTGTACACTGTTTCACCTACAAAATACAGAGTCAAATCAATTTTACAGTATATTCTGTGAAGCGCTTTGAGACGTCTCAATGACGTAATAAGGTTATTATTATAATTATTATCCCATCTCTCTCAGCCAACCATCCAGCTAACACTCACTTTTCAAGGAGTTAAATGAGGAATGTTAATTAGCAGAATTACCAAATGATTATCAACTGCCAATAATTGATTTGGGGGAGGGAAATATAATAAGGGAATACGGTCTTTAAACCAGAGTCAAACTGGTTAATAGTAAGATCCAGAAACATCTCAGAGGGTTGTGAGAATGTGGAATAGTCTTTGTCTGCCCTACCAATTCTGCATGGGACGTTAAAGAGATAGATAGATACATGGACCAACAGGTAGGGTGGTCCTAGCTGGACAAGCAGCGGGTAAACTTGCCAGACAGCGACATCAATGAAGCTACAAGGTTTTAGTTGGTTAGACTCCAGCAGTTACCCGAACGCACTCTGGGCTGCCCCCAAGCCTTGGCACTTGCCAACCCGTGCCTAATACTTTCCGGAATTAGGTAAACAGGAGGCGTCCCTTCAGGGGGAGAGAGAGAGAGCGCATTCCATTCCAACAATCTATCTCTGAGATTTCCATGTGTAGGTGGTAAGTATGGAATTCTCAGTGATGGGTTTCTACGTCTGTCAGACACCCGGCTGGTATGGATAAAGGGGTGTGGGGGAGATCCAACTAAAAGATCTGGCATGATCTAATAAACTAGTGGAACAGGCTCGATGGGCTAAATGGCCTCCTCCTGTTCCTATGTTCTCAACAAGGACTACATGTACATATGTCTATCAACTGTCTTTCTCACCCAACTCTGTGACCTGTGTACATTAATGTTCTGTTGTTTCCAACTCCAGCTTTTACAGGCATCTTGATTGATGTAAAGATAGGGGGGATATAAATGGAGTTTTAGACCCGTGTAAATGTCGACCTCTCGCGTGTCTATTGCGGGTTTGTTGCATGTAATGTCTTCCGTGTGTTGGCTGACCAAAATAGAGATTTTGTGCGTAATTGGCTGCCCCCGATATTAAATTGTCTTCACGTTTGCTCCTCTTGACACGTGGTGCTGCTTCGAATCGATAACCGTAGCTGATATTCTAGTATGTAAAGGGGTCGGCATTTTGCCTGTACAAATTTCACAAGCAATAGTTTTGTGTGTAATGAAGGAAAATAAACTACCACAGCAACCGAGTGGCCTGAGCTTGACGAATGTGAGCAGTTCATGTGACTAGTCGTTAGCATCTGATTTCAGAACACTTGGCTTTGCAAACACACAAAATAATTTGGTTACCCATCCACCCACCCAACCCTCCCTCCCCCCTCTCGCCCTTCCTCCCTCCTCTGAAGTCTCACCTCTCGGGTATCTCCTCTGAAGTCTCACCTCACTCCGTCCCTCCCTCGCACGCACGCACTCATACACGCACTCATACACGCACTCACTCACTCACTCACTCACTCTCTCACTCACTCACTCACTCACTCACTCACTCACTCACGGCTGTTTGTGGGACACTGGTGTACTTAATCGCCTGCCGTGTTTCACCCACAAAATTAAAATTAAAGAGCTCTCAGCAATACGCTTTAGGGCTCCACGTACATTCTGTGGAATCCTTTGAGACATCTGAACGACGTGGTAGGCTTTATATCGAATGTAAGGATTATGTTTAATATTAGCACTGGCTCCTCTGATTTTAAGATATGGAGTTTTTGTTGCAAAATTCCCCCATCTCGTGGCCAGGCTCAGAACTACCACAAGCTCTGAAATTATGAACGAGACAAGGATTTGGACTGAGTGCTCTATCCATCAACTTACACGAGTGGTTCATTCCACCACCACATTTCATTCAGAGATCTTTAAATTCTTAGTTGGAAAAAGATCTGTAAGTGAAACGTTGAGGTAAAATAAGACATCATTCGCTTCAACTACTCCAGAAACAACACCATCTATCTCATAATTTGTCTTGTTTGCGTCTTTCCTTCCAATGGGGGGGAAAAAGAACTCTATAGCGATATCGAATCAACCAATGAAATGTTTGGATTTCGTTGATCAGGTTCTTCAAATTTTTTATTGAACGCAACAAGTGCTACTGGTGACCATAATCCGGGACAGAATGAATCTCTACTTAGAGGAACACGAGGTAATTAGAGACCCCCAACATGAATTTGTTAAAGGCAAATCTTGCCTAACAAATCTAAAATAATTTTTTGAAGAGGTGACTGCGAGGGTTAATGAGGGAAATGCGGTGGACGTTATTTACATGGATTTCAAAAAGGCTTTTGACACAGTACCGCATAAGAGATTAATAAAAAAATTAGAGGCCCACGGTATTAAGGGGACAGTGGCCGTTTGGATTAAGAACTGTCTGAGTGACAGAAAGCAGAGGGTGGTGGTTAATGGGTGTTTAACGAAATGGGAGGAGGAGTGCAGCGGTGTTCCCCCAGGGATCAGTATTGGGACCACTGCTCTCCCTAATATATTTTAATGATCTGGACTTGGGCATAGAGAGCACTATTTCCAAGTTTGCAGATGATACAAAGTTAGGTCGGGTAGTAAATAGTGAGGAGGACTGTAACCAACTGCAGGCAGACATACACAGAATGGTGGAATGGGCTGACATGTGGCAGATGGATTTCAATGTGGATAAGTGTGAGGTGATACACTTAGGGAGGAAAAATGATAGGAGGCAATATAGACTTGGAGCTCAATCTTAAGGGGGTGAACGTACAGAGAGATCTGGGTGTTCAAGTAAGCGAATCATTAATTGTAGTGGGGCAGGTAGATAGGGCAGTAAAAAGGGCATTTGGTGTACTGAGCTTTATTAGTAGGGCATAGAGTATAAGAGTAGGGGTTATGGTTAATCTGTACAAAACACTGGTTA